AGATGGTATGTCAGTCTAGGTATAAGACATATTATAAACTAATCTATGGTATTAAAAAAAATTTACCTAAAATAGGTAGTAGGTACCTATAATAAATTCCAAATTAATCATATCACAATATCCATTAGGTACTTATAATGCGTTATACGTCAACAACAAACCCTGATACTATCATAGATACCTATATAATAGTGTACTTTAGGAGTTTCAAGTACCCACGAATAATATTACACAATCACAACAAAATGACTATAAAAATAAACTGTGCTTATGTATTTTTTAGATTTTTTGGTAACAGAATTAACTACTTACGTGGAATCTTGTTTTAAATTTTCTATCCTTAGATATAAAAGTTGAACATTTTATACATTTTTAACTACAAAATAATTATTCAATTTTAAATTTTATACATTTTGTCAAAATTCGATCTTTAAATGCTTATAAAAAAAAAATTGTGCCTATGCATTTTTAATATTTTTCAACTGATATTGTAACAATATATCAGGAGCCTTGTATTAAATTTTTACACTTTTTGGCTCAACGGATAAAACTTTATTGATATTTATACAAAAAAAAACTAAAAAAATTGGAAACTGAAAATGTCCGTAAACAGCTCAAAAAGAGTCAAAATATTTTCAAATTGTATGGTGTATAGGAAATGCTAATATAAACATTCAGTGAAATTTTCATGTATCTACAGTTATTTGTTTTTGAATTTCAACAAAATAAGGAAATCGCTACATGAGAATTCGAGTGAATATCCAATGTTGTAAAAATTTGAATTTCAAACGCTCATAAAATTTTAATTTGACTTTCTTGTAGACATTTTTTTTTTTGTTAAAAGTAGATAATCTTATAAGGAATCTTGTATTACATTTTAAAATCTTAGATTTAAAAAGAAAAATTTTTACGAATCTTAACTCAAAATAATTTGCTAATTTTCTTGATTTTTCCATATTTTGTCAATTTTTGAACTTTAAATGCTTATAAAAAAAAACTGTGACTAAGGATTTTTAATATTTTTCAAATGCCTTTGTAACAATATAGTAGGAGCCTTGTATACAATTTTCAAGCTTTTTTAACCAACAAATAAAATTTTTATTGATATTTTTAAAAAAAAATGGAAAATGAAAATGTTCCTAAACAGTTCAAAATAAATCAAAACATTTTGAAAATTTTATCGTGTATAGAAAATACTAATATAAATATTCAGTCAAAATTTCATGTACCTACGGTAATTTGTTTAAGAGTTGCACCAAAAACCAAAATCGATTTTTTCGAAAACAGATTTTAGTGTATAAATTCCCGTTTTTCCTTAATTTTGATATATTTAATATACTTAATTATGAAATATTTTAGGACGTCCAGCTGCACATGCCCTGCAAAACCCCGTTGCTCCGGTCTTCGGCCCAAGTACTTATACACAGCGATCTTACACATACATCTTACGAGTAGGTACATACGTACTTCAATAATCTCTTCGGCGTTTAACAACATCGTAAACAAATGAACACTCGATTCCTTGTGGATCAACTCGTGCAAGGAATTTGTTTCCTTATGGTCGGGCGTCCTCGCCAGGGTACGACAGTGGAGTTGCACAGTCGATTAACAGTGGGTGGTATACTATAACGCGGGATGAATTAACTATAAAGTTTGAATGAAAACATTGTAACTCGAATAATATGAAAGATGATTGCTCCATAATATTATACTAATGTCTAATTAGTAAACAATAAAGAAATACAACATTGTGTACACATGACAACGATTTTTTTAATAACTATTATCACTATACCAAATATGCTTTAGTGAAAAAAGTGGTCTCCCAACTGTCAAAGATGTCCGCAGACCTTTTAAGCTACCCGACTACAATCAAAGGTGGTGGTGAATACGCATAGTTCGACACCATGAAAGGAAAGTGGCGTCTCATGAAACGATGGCGTTAAACTTACAAGTCTGCTCGATTCGACTTGGGTGAAAAGATTTTGTGAGGTTACAAAGTGTTCCGAAAGCTGCACGTTTATGATATCCGTTCTCGTCGTCATTCCATATTTAGTAGTGCGTTTATGGTTTTAGTTCAAAATAAATTTTTTTTTTTTTATTAAAAATATAGTCTGAACTGCAAATGTAACGAACATAAAGAAATTATAAAATTATATGGCGTATTTGAGCATGCAAATGACATTTTCGTACAATATAGAGAGCGGTCGGTACGAAAACTAAACGATAGGTACCTACTGTTGTAACGTGTCCGCTTCAGCAATCGAAATAGAATTAGAAGTATAATAAAGATACACAAATGTTCGTATAATCAAAGTTTTAGCAAAGTCGACGAATGTCGATAAATACATAATTATACATATTTAAATTTATATACTAATAATGAGGATTATTACAGTACTAACGACGAAAAATTGATGCTTTATTCATACCAATCATTAAAAATTGCAATATCGGACGAACGTATAAAAACAATGACAAGGAGCGTACCTCTTGGATAACGGAGAAAATCAAACATTATGCGCGAGTTTCATACTATGTTATGCTGCATTGTTTGTTTCTAATCGATTTTACATAAGGTTTTCCTTTTCGTGGTTACTTATTAACAAAAACACATTTATGATTCGTTGATTTTATTTGTAGAGGAAAAATATTGAGTAGCGTGCTATGATTTTTTCCAAAGAGAATAGGTACATATCTATTTATTTTTTATTTTCTACTTTTTAGTTAAAAGTAAATTTTTATATTAAACGTTTAAAAAATATTAATGAAACAAATTTCTTATATTTAATAAAAAGAATCAAACTACTGATGATTATGATTTATTAATAAATAAATAAGTTTATTGGGTCGTGAAATGAAAAGACTTTTATTTTGTTTCACACAACAAATTGAAATTTTTTTATATGAAAAATTTCATTATGAGATCATTATATTTTTTTTTTATTAAATTTAAATAAAAGGTTAATTGTACATATAAATACATCAATACAATATATCTTAAATTTATACCTAACTTCTTTAAGCATAGCTTGCGATGAAGGTAGGGAGTTAATATTACTTATCAATAATATACAGGTTGCTTATGATAACAGGATAAACATGTTTAGTAATTATATACAAATTATACAAGTTATACAAGAAATAAAATTTAGATTAGAACAAAATATAATAGTCTGTTAATATAAAGCAAAGATGATATATAATATTTTATAATATAAATGATATACATTTTATTCAATGTTTAATAGAGACCAATTTTTAATAATATTTTTTGCATGTTTTGGTTTTTCGATTATTTTTTTTTTAAATCTAAATCTAGAGAGTTATAAAATTTCGGACCAAGATAATCCACAAATTTTTGACCAAAAGAAGTATTCGTATAATTAATTTTAGCATCATATGCCCTATATTTTCCCTAGTTTGCTTAGATTTATCTATATTATACCAATTTTCCATATTTTTTACTACCCACATAATTGCAAATTTCTTATACAGTGAATTAATAGGCAACATTTGAGTTCTTTATAATTTTGAGATGTAGATACTTCTAAACTGTATTTATTTAGACATATTCTAATAATTTTATTTTGTTGCAGTTGTAGTGGTTTTATAGCTGTTTGGGTAAGACCTCCCCATACTCGAATGCCATATTGAAAGACTGCTTGGTGTAATGATAAAATATATATATTACGTACAATGTTAATAGGAAAAATGTCTTTAAGTTTACAGAATTTACACACTGATATTCTTAAACGCATAACTATGTTATCTATATGTACATTCCACCCTAAATTTTCATCAAAGGTAATTCCCAAGTATCGTGTGAATATATTTATAATATATTTTGTTATTTTACAGTACTTATAATTTATTGTCCTTCATTTACAATTTACTAACTGTGTGTTCGCGACGGCAACAGCGACGATGCGTACAAAATAAACAAATATTTATGCAAAGAGAATCCAGCGACACGGTAGTGTCGCGAGCTAAGTAAAAAAAAAGGAAGGCGAAGCACTCGACCGTGTATATATACAGAAACCTAAACATTCCCATTTAATACGTGTTAATATTTTGGTGTTCTTTATTATTTAATCATTTATTAATAAATGGACCAAATAGTTAGAATGAGGTATCAATCGATCGAGAAAATCATAGGCTACGTGCTTTTATAATTTCAATAGAATCGGTTGAATAATATTTTAGTTATGATCAAAAAACTGTGGATATTTAAGTGATCATTTTATATTACTTTCGCCGCCGGCTGCCGTATTAAACGCGTCATGTGAGCGGAGACGGGTGAGGGGATTCTTGCGACGGCGGCGTGTGTCTCCCACTACTATTGCTTCCCACCACGGCTAGATACATACAACACACTAACACGCGGACATAGTTCACTATCGCTTATCGGTATCGGTGCATTCTGTTTTCGTAATTTCGTTCTTTCGTCTCGCGTCCTGTGTACGAGCTTGTTGTCTGCGTTAGACTAGTTGGATATACAATTTGTATCTTAGCCACGAAAAATCTACTAGGAAGAATACTGAGGGGATACCCGGGTACATAGGAGGAAAAAGGGCAGGGAAGACTACTACTCATTACTCAAATGTGGAGAAGTTTGAAAAACGGAAAATTGATCGGTTTGAACGGTGGCCTCGTGGTGCAAAAGATGTTTACATCATAATAATGGAAAAAAAATAAAAAATATATTGACCCTAATAAAAACTAATGATATCCCAACAAAAACACTCCGTCAACTCCGTGTAAAAAACGCTAAGTCAAAAAAAAAAAATATATAAATGCCATAAAATTTGTGATACAGGGTGGGGCACTATAACGGCCGATTTTCTAAGACAAATTATAAAATAAAAAAACGAATAAAAATTAATTATTATTTATTATAATGAAGTACATAACTTGCCATTTATTTTTTAAAAATGATGTCTTCAAGTTGATGGCCATCTCTTCTCAAACACTCTTCTAGCCTATTTCGTATTTTTCCACTACACGGCTCTGACAGCAGTGACGTTTTCAGGTGTGCGAATGGTTTTTTGTCGTACAGGCTTCTTTTTTAATGCTGAACCCGTTTCTTCAAAGTTGGTTATCCATATTTGAATAGCCTTAGCCGATGGTACCGAATCATGGGGTTTAAGATTAAAATGAAGACGAAATGCACGCTGTGCGGCTACGTAACTGCCTTTTTTGTAAAACAATTTTGTCGCATAAGCACGTTGTTTACCACTCCACTGTTCCATGTTTACTAAATGGCATGTTGTCTTAGAACTATTAATAATATTATTGAGAATTATTTTCTTAATTACTACTCAGAAAATCTATTTTCAAAATCGGCCGTTTCAGTGCCCCAC